GAGATGCATGGGGGACCTGGTCAAAGGCTTTTTGTATATCCAGGTAAATTGTTACAGTGGATTTCCCGGCGTCGTAGGCTGCTGTGATGGTCTCGGAGAAGTGGAGCTGGCAGCTACTAACGGATCTTTGAGACAGGAAACCATACTGCCGGTCATCTATGGCATTGGTCGTCATTAGTTGTTGGGTAACTGAAGTCGAGTTTTGAAACTTGGGATCAGGGGCCACGAGAAGGAAATAGAATGAAAGCACTGGCGTTTGACGAGTGTCAGAAGGCATAAGATACAACGGCGTCAATAGGAAAAATCCTAAAAGGGGATAACAGCAAGCTACATGGGTCCTGAAAGATGGACACGTTTGCTGCTCCAGAAACCATGTACGAGTTGGGCCAGAGTAGGTGCCTAATTTGGGGAAGATGAGAACTTTTTCGTCGAGGTAGCTAGCAGGGAGGCTAGCTGTTGGACTGGTTGAAAACGGGCGGTAGTATTTGGCCTACCAAGCATCATGACATAGGGTCCTTGTTGTGCAGAAAGAGGGTTTATCGTGAGCAGTGACAGTAGAAAAGTAAAAAGCGGACAATCAACAGCTTCCCAGATAATTGTTTAGAATCGTAGTTTAAATGAGATTGACTACGTTAACCTAACAGGAAAGCATGATCAAGGATCACCAGGCGACCAGTCACTGCTGTGGTGTTTTGTGCGTAAGCTGAATGGGCTGCGAGGTGCATAGTATGTTATCAGAAATGAGGAATTCTGACTTTTGCTTGTTTTACGCTGGTTAGGGTTAGGCGGTTTGAAGCACCACTCATTTAACGGAGCGGATAGAGTAGTCAAAGAGAGGGACCGAGCTGGGAGGAACATGGTATAAGCTGCTTTAAGCAAGTCAAATAGCTTGCAAGGTATGGTAAAAGAGTGGATCATTTTTAATTATTGTTTTGATTATTTTTTGTCCACTAAATTTACCCTCGCCAAGCTCACAGGTGGTCTGGGCCCCGTTCATAAAAGAGATCGGGGATAGTTGGGTATTAAGTACAGCGACCGGGGCCTCACACGTAAGGAAGTTGTCTACAGACTGTGAAAACTTATGTTGACGTGTGGTAGTTCGAAGCCGATCGGGAAGGTTGTCCCAGATGCTAGTGTGTTAAATCAGGAAAAAGTAGTGTCATAGGTTTGTACGCGCTGGAGGGCATACCAAAAGGCTGCTGGGTCTATGCTATTTGTACGGTGTATACGATATTACGTTTGGCTTAACCTCTACTACAAAAGCATTTCGGCACAACGGACAGTACAGAGTTAAATTACGTTTTGACCTCTAGGTCACAGTGGCTGAAGGCCTACGATTATACAGCGAAATTGGTGGGAGAGAAAGCTTGTCTGTGGGTCTAAAGGGGAGAGAAAGCAGGGCCAAATTCTACAGTTGGGCGAACGCACAGCTTGAAAATTGCAACCTTTGTGTCTCAAAGAGGGAAGGAGGGTAATATTAGAAAGCAGAGCCTATGTACTCAGGCAGTCGGCAACTGGACTTGATGAGAATCTAAGACCAAGGTCCTTGATCTCAGTGGAATGAGTGACAGGGTTTCCATTAATTGTGAACGTATCAGGTGGGCGGAGCAGTAACAAGAAGTTATGTGGGACCTGTAAGAAGAGGAGCGTAGGCTATAGGCACTTGACTAGCGAGTCAGGCAGTCTAAGTCTTGTTGGACCCGGCGAAAGGCAAGAAGTTTCTCAGAGTAATGAAATATGTAAGCAGTTTTTATATCTTCCTCAAAAAGGAAGGGTTTACCATCGGATACGGCATCAAAGACGTCATTGATATACAGTAGTGGGGCCTGGAACGTTCCCTTGAATGACCCAAGTTGTGACCGGTGGTTGGGATGGCTGTTTGTCACCAATTTGTGTTATCTGTAACCTATTAGATAGGTAGAAGGCGAAACACTCAAGTGAAGACCATCCAACTGAGATGCATAAGGGACATGATCAAAGGCTTTATGGATTACCAAATAGACTGTAACAACATAGCGTTCGGCATTATAGGCTGCAGTGGCGGTCTCAAAGAAGTGAGGCTGGCAGCCATCAACGGATCCCTGGGATGGGAATCTGTAGTTTCGGTCATTTATGGCATTTGTGGCTAGAAGGAACCTGATTTACAGGTTTCTGACCGGACATTCAACGGTTGCGATAAAATGAGGGTATGATGAATCCCTCTGTAGCTATAAGTAGTTTGTTTGGATCCGGATTTGAAATGTTCGGAGTCGATGGGTGATTAAAAGATTTAGGACAAGTGTTTTGAAATCTTGACTGCCATGTCTCAAGTCACGTGATGATATGCTGTCGTTTCCCGGCACGGCGGTGTCCTTGAGGGTTTGAAGAAGGGCTGACACATCGGCCAGGGAGATGGTCACGTTGCTAAAAGACGGGCGGTTACTCTGTTGCTGAGATATGAAATGGGCGGCAGTGACTGTGGGATTGAGCTTGACAGGAAGAGGCAGGTAGCAGCTGGTAACGTTAGCGTTCAAGTGGTCGGCTACGTTGACGGAATTGGTGACAAAACTACCGTCATGGAAATACAGACCAGTAACTGAGTGACTGTTTTGGCTACAGCGCCCGCGAAATAGGCTGTTGAGTAATTGAGAGCTAGAAGGGTCCCCGAGAGTTTTGATGTCCTCACGCCATTCGAGGAATGACCACAAAGACCCTCGGTCAGTTGAGAGCTTGCTGGTGGGGAGTATTATTGAGAAATCCTGAGATTTCCGATATTCTCTGCCAGCCCGGTGTATTTTGTTGTCCAAGGTTTGCAATGAACTACCACACCGAGGGTTACGAGGGTGAAAACTCTTAATTGAAGGAGCAAGGTAGAGATAGGGCAAAGGGTTTTGTTAGAAGATATCACAAATGCGCCATGCGTTCGCCTAGAGAAAAAAGCCTTTCCAGTCCCGGGGGCCGACAAGGATGAAAAAGCCAGCAAAGCTTCCGGAGTCAGGAGGTGAAAGAGGGAGGGACCCGGAGGACCGCGTTGCAGGAAATGACGCAGTGATCACTACCTGGAAAGCATGGACCAACTGCGGTCGTAGCCAGATGACACTAATTTGAAAATATTAGGTCTAAGACAGGTTGGCCACGGGTGGAGCTGCGAGCAATCCGGGACAAACCTTCCAACTAACTTGAGTATGCAGTGAGGCGTAACGAGTAGGGCCAAAAATGGGAGACCAGGAAATATCCGGTAGGTTGGAGTCAACCAGCACGAATTTAGACAAATGAGGAAGGGCATGTGCAGCGGATACAATACGGGACAAGTGAGTTACGAAAGCGGTGTACGGTACAGGTGGTAGATAGATACAGCTCGCTATGTTCTATGGAGATCCAGATAGCCGCTGGAATCCCTTGTAGGCTGGAACCATCGGTTGGTGTTGTCCGAGGTTTCGAATCGGAAAAGATGGCACAGCCTCCACCCTGTGACGCTGTCATACCAAGTGTGATGGCAATCTCGCAAGTATTTTTTTCACAGTCTAGACAAAAACCACTCACCCACTCGAACCTGTGATTGCATCTACGAGCAACTTTTTCACCTCCTCTCAACCGCCTCTGGAACGACTTCATCCTAACCCGATGAAACTTTCGTTCGGATTTGATCAACGTGGATTTCTGCTGCAATTTTGAGTTGCCCCATCCACGAGTTCAATTCCATATACGGTGTTCGTTTGGCCCTATGCATCAGCACTATTTCCCAATAAACCTATACTTTGCACCTGACTTTCCCACAACATTGGAACCAGCGAGTCTATTTAGTTTCATAATACACCACATTTTTGAGACAACCTATTATTTGCTCCCAACTTGAAATATTCCATCTTCATCTCCATTTTTTGCTTGTTTTAACGCTGGCCATTTACTCAACCGCCCAAGGTCACTCATGGCCACCGGTGATTTCAGTATTAGTTCATGACAACTGGCTTCATCCTTGAAATAGTAGGACCTCATACCCATTGTTTCCTACACGATGGGAAGGTACTTGGGACATGAAATCATGCGTATCGGCAGGAGGTGCCGGAGACTGAAGTGCAGAAAAAGGTGGTGGTTAGCATCCGAAAATGGTTCACAGTTGGGATGGAAGAGTGTGAGCAGGATGGTGAAGGCACATAAGAGTCTGAGCTGGCCGCCAGTATATGTGGAGGTGAGGTTTCACCAAGCTTCCGGTGTGGTCCGATAATGCCAGTCGGCTCCAGTATTGAACCAGTCGTACCCATGCCAATCGTTCTTGTTTTTTTTATTTCCATAGCGGAACTTACTTTTCACTTAATAAGCACGTCTCGATGGTTACACCTTCCCTCCCATTTTGCTGCTGCCCGCCGAGTTTAGGTTGTAGACTCAACGTGCACGTTCACTACGGGTTTGAAAGTAAAAACATTATTATAACGTAGGCTTTGCTCTACCTCAGCAGTAGCCATTGACAGATCGTGCCGCGTTTGTAGCTGAGAGAAATTTGGTATAGGGGCACTTGGCCAGACTTTCAAGGTTTCGGATTTTAAAAAGAATTATACTGCATCTCTATGAAGTGTGGAGTGGTTTTCTAGATGCTGGTGCCAAGCGGGGCGGACTGTGGATTGTTTTTACTCGGAGCGGACAAGTTCCTTTTTGCCTGATTGGGAAAAGACATTTAAAACAAGGCGTTCGACGCACTGACCGCCATACCTCAGAACACAAAATGGTATGCCATGCACGATGGAGCCATAGGGACTTGAAGAAGGACAGAAACATTAGCTTATGAGAAGGTTAAGTTGCCATCAGAGGGTGGCCACTCTGGAGTAATGATGTGGAATTTGCTGCCGAAGTAATATGTTTGAGTTTGGGGGGAAGACGCAAGTAGAAGCTTGAAAAATATCCGTTAGGGTGGCCGGGCACACTGACAGGATTGTTGACACACCAGTGTACTGTTAGACGCATACAATTAGCTGAGTGTCTGTTTGGGTACAAGGTACACAGAACGGGCCGCTGAGGTGTTCCAAGAGAGATGTTCGAGAGATAAATGAGGAGACTCTCGATCGGTTGAGAGCTTACTGCTGGGGGTATTACGGAGAAATCCCGAAATTTCTGATATTCTTTGCCAGCTCCACTGCATTTTGATACCCAATGTTCTAGTAACTTATCACGGTGGGAGATCCTGTAAAAGCTGTATTATAACCCGAAAATGGGTCATATGAACAGAAACCGGGGAGCACTAACAACGTCTTAGGCGGAACTTCATACGGATCCCTCTTTACCACTCGCACTCAGGTGCTGCTGCGAGCGAAAAGTCCATCCGACGCAAGATTGGCCAGGAATTCGGGACGCTTGCCGGCCCGGCACCAGGCCGAAACCTGATTTGTCGAAAGTCGGGATCCAGTGCTGTCCGAATGCCGGTCCCTACTGGCACATCCAGAGCGCTTTAGAATTTCCCGAAAGTTGTTGCCGCTTAAGGTATATATTTATGGAGCGCTGTACGAGTGTTCCTGACTTCGTTTGGGCGTTGATATACCATGTGCACCTTTGGTGGTTGTTTTGAAGTAAACACTAGCTTGAGAAGCCCAGACCAAGAACTAGGCTGAGAAAAATACCGTTACTACACAAAGACAGCTTTGGTAAATGAAATGATTACGTTGGATATATATATATATATATATATATATATATATAAACAAGCGATTTATCTCGTTGTGGGTACAACGCGAT